GCGCCTCTTCCTTTTCTGTGCCCCCCTCTCTCTCCCTAACTCTCCCAGGAAGTGCCTATGGAGGCACCATTCTCAAAGATAATGGACGAGCCTCCTAAGGCGAGGAGCCCCTGCATGGGAAGCCACCACTAAGGGACGACCTGGCCCCTCAGCCAGAATACAGAGGGTGAAGGGACACCACTAGAGGAGGGTGTCAGTCAGAAGGGACAGTAGTCAGATCAGAAATGGAGTGAAAGGAGCCTCAGAGAGAAACACTGGTGGGACATTCCCAGGTGGTCCAAGGGTCAGCCTGGCCGATTGGCCACATCCTAGCATTATGTGACCTAAATGTGGCCTTGGATATGGGGCATCGGGCCAGAAGGGGCATGACACCAGGCTGCCTTCTAGCCAGGTGGCCAGTTCCCCAGGTCTGACTCTCTCCCTTCATGCAGCCCTGGAGTGCTATGCCACCCACAGTGTGTCTGCCCCTCAGGCCATCGCAGGCTTCCTCTCCACGGTAAATGACAAAACTGGCAGACCGCTCTAATGCAGCATCTCAGTTGAGCACACGAGAGAGAAGCTGGAGCCTGGGTCCCAGCAATAGTGACGAGACAGAGCCTCTGGGTCTGCGAAGCTAAAGTCGGGGTGGGGACACAGGAGATCTGCCAGGGGGACCTTAGAGGCTGACTGGGGGCTGCTTACCCTGAGACCTTCATCTACGGAGAGCCCAGAGGAGGAGGAACACTGGATTCTCCAAGACCAGATGCCCCAGGAGCAGCCTGACATCAGCCAGAGGACTGAAGGTTCACAGGAGCCGAGCTAGGAAATGAAGGAGCCTCTGGACACGAAAGGGACCCTCCTGCTTGCACCTTTTAGCCAGCAGTGATTCACGGGCCCAACCATGAGGCCGGCTTAGTGAGGAACTGAGCCGTGAGTCGGAGGCTGTGAGTCGGAGGCTGTGAGCACCCAGCACCCAGACAGCTGTGCGACTGCCTGCTCTCTCCAGCCCCTGCCGTCCCACAGCCTGGCCCGCATCTGCATGGCTGGCGGACTTCCACGAGGGGTCCCGCCCTGTCACCGCTACGTCACTAAGGGTACACTGCCTCGGAGCCCTGGCACGGGCCAAGGAATCGCCCTCACAAATCGACACCCGGAAGAGGTGACATAACAAGAGCCACCCACCTCGCAAGTCATGAGAAAGTCGGCGAGCTCATTGGGGTCAGACACCCCCTGCTGGCCATGCTGACAGCTTCCTGAGGGCTTGTCCTCATTGTCAAGTGGCCCCATTTTCTGGATGGGACCCCGAGGCTGACAGATAGAAGTACTTAGCCTTGGGAACCCTGACGAGAAGGTAACTCACACCCAGCTTTCTGACCCTGCTCTGCCCTGCTCAGTGACCACCCCAGCCCATCTCGGCACTCAGAGCTGATCCGAGTGGGTTTCTGTCCCCCCTAAGTGACAACAGCCAATCAACCAGTTCAGAGCTTGACAGCTTCCTGAGCAGCTGGTGGGTCCCAGCCTCAATTTCCTAAATCGAGGCCCAGATGAGGCACTCCTTTCCTAAGAAAGAGAAGGGCACCCAAGCCAGCTGACTGTGGGGCTCAGGGCCATGACAGCAGCCGAGCCTGTCCCCGCGGCGGGCACTGCACTAGCTGTGCTGCACTTCCAGCCCAGGGGCACTGAGTTCAGGCCCAGCCCTCCCTCCTGACCTGCCTGGAACACAGCGAACCACACACACACACACAGGCTCCGTGGCGAGCAATGATACTGAAAGGCCCACCCGTCAGCCAGGCAGGCTTAATCAAGCTACTGACCAGTCTCCAAGCCCTTTTTTGCTTTACCGATGAGTATTCAACTACCTTCTCCCAGTTCCAGAGGCAAAACAGTGGTCACTGGTTGTGGCCAACTTTTCCATGACTGAGTTCAACAAGCCACCAGTGAGGGGAAAGAACCACAGGTGAGGGGCTCCCTGGGACTTGTCAGCCGACTCCCCAACACATGTTCAGCCAAGAGCATGTCCAAAGCCCTGGTTCAGAATGAAAGGCCAAGTCTCCTCTCACTGCAGCTCAGCCAGCCCCGGCGCCCTGGCCCACCCTCCTGCCCCCTCCCACCTGCACAGGTGACCGTGCACTCCTGCTGCTCCTGGCAGGGCTGAAGCTCTCACTGCAGCCAAAGAAGCATCGGCAGGCCCCCCCCGTGGGGCCGTAGGAGCCTGCTCCGCCGACACTGACGGGGAAGAGGACATCGGCATCACCGTGCAGCACCTGCAGCGGGGCCCAGCCGTGCATCTGGGAGAGGCAGGTGTTCCCATCCAGTGGCCTACGGTGAGAGAACACAGCTGGTGAAGGGCAAGGAGCCCCTGTGGGCACAGGACTCCCCACAGGTGTCTGTCAGGCCTCAAGTGCCTTCTTGGAATTAACCAGACCATGACCAGTGTGAAAGGAGGAGGGGACATGGCTGGGGTCGGGAGCACGAAGACCAGACCTCTGGCATTTGTTGTTTCCGGAGGTGTTGACTGAGCACATACGAGACGCCATGCACCGTGCTCCCAGCTTGCATAGAGGGCCAAGGGCCAGCTGGCAGTGTCTATCCTGCCCTCCTGGAGCTCACAGCTGGGGAGTGGAGGGGGACATGGATCGAAGAACCACAAGAAGGTGGAAAACAGCAGCTGAGATTCACAGAGTTGGTCAAGAAGGTCGTGGAGGGCTGCCTGGAAGAAGAAAGGTGTAAAGGGACAGCTGAGGGGAGCAAAGCACCTGGACGAAGAGGGACAAGAAGGTGAGGGGAAGCAACAGCATATGCAAGCGCTGAAGCAGGAGAAGCTCTGTGCACTCCAGGTTCTGAGAGGATGGCAGCCATGTGACCTCGGGCCGCTGTTGCTTCGCCTCGCTGGTCCCAGACCCTCCAGGCTAAGAGGACAGATATGACCGGGTCACGTCTGGGCCTCTTCCCAGGGAGGTGCTCAGCTCAAGTATTAACCAGGCCCAGATGATTTGTTATGCTGCCACCCACCTCAAAGAACAAAACTAACGTGTGTGACCTTTGGACCAGCAGGCTCTTCACGGAGCTTTTGCCCACTGCAGCGTTTGCTTCTGAAATGCTAATAAAAACCCAGGACAGGAGCCACAGGGGGCGTGGTGGTTAGGGCGGCTGGACTACAGTGGACCTGGTGGCTTGCTTTCTCACTTTCCTTCTCTTTCTCTGTCTCTCTCTGGTCAACTTCAAAAATACAAAATAAAATGATGATAATGAATAAAGTAAAATAAAATATTTTTTAAAAAGGGACATAGCTACACGAAGTTTATAAAATCACTTCATAACTCACTGGGTAAAGACGACTAAAGTAGACCATAAGCATAACTACTTGGGGCTAAGTGGCCCCAAGTGGTGTTTACGGTGCTAGACTCCCACACGGCCAACTGTGATATGAGTCCTGGACCCAGTGGCCTGAAAATCACACCAGGCGCACCTGTGTGCATGCCCGAAATCCCAGGAGGAGAAGGGACAGCCATTGCCATCCCCCTAGGGGATGATTTCTCACTTTCCCTCTCACTGTCTCTGGCAAGCACACACTCTATGGCAAAAACCTTTAAAAAAAAAAAAAAAGCTATTTTATAGAAGAAGGAAAGAGGAAACAGGAGGGGAGGAGAGGAGAAGGAGGGAGGGAGGGAGGAAAAGAAACTGCAGAGACAAAGTGCCCTGCCCACGGTCGTCCACCACAAGCAGTAGAACCAAGGCCCTGGTTCTCCCTCTAACCACGGTGGTCTTGGGCCTGCTCCCCACCGGGTGTCCTGGCTTACACAGTTTCTCTGTATTTTAGAGAAGGAGCAGCAAGCTCTTTCCACAAATGACCGGACAGTAAATACTGCAGGCTCTGGGACTCGCTCTTCCTTGGTGTTTCTTTACAATCCTACATTGCTACGTCCACCCACGGCATGGGGTGGCTCTGGCCTGTGACCTGTTCAGAGGCTCCTCATGGAGTTGTCTCGGGCTGCTCTGGCCTTTGGTCAGGCCTTCAGCACTGAACAGGAAACCCAGGGAGAAGCCATCCTAACAGAATCCTGCAAATGGCCCATGTACTCCTGCAGGTAAGGCGTTGAGATGGGACTCTCAGACGGCAGGCTGGGACCAGAGAGGAGCTGCTCCCGTCTGGACCCTGGCAGCAGAACCCAATTGCAGCCAAGTCCTGGGTGAACAGCTGTGCCTCTAGAATCTGTTCAGAGTTGCCCTCCTAAGGCTCCAACCCACCAGGGGTGACCAAGGGAGGCCCACACCTGATGTGACAAAAGTGCCAGTCTCTTCCGTATCATTCCACTGGTCCCTGGCAGGAAGTATTTTCAGTTTGTTTCTGTTAAATAACAATTATGGGGGTGGGGGCGGGCTGTTTTGGAATAAGCCATGCAGTAGGCCCCAACAGACCGGAATGAATGAAAATGGAGTCACTCGCTCCTGCCTCCACATCAGTAAGCCAGGGCTGAACTGTTACCCGCCCTTCAGAGAAATCTGAAGTGAAAGTAACCGCCTAGTTTTCCAAAGCAGGCCAATGCCAACAGGCGGGATAATGAAGTTCCATCTGTTTTCATCCTTATACAAAAGAAGCAACCAGGAGCAGTCTGATGTTAACCACTCAGTTATTTCCCCCTGTTCTATCTCCCGAGACATCTCACAAGGACAGTAACCTTGAAACGACCCCACTCTGCTTTTTCCTTGTTCCTTCTCAGCCTATAAAACCAACTTCTTCTGGCTCAACTCCTTGAAACACTGAACCCTATTTTATGGAATAAAGTGATACCCAATTTCAGAATAAAAACTAAAGCCAATTAAGATCTTTCAACTAAATTGCTGTGATTTTGTTTTTGTGGGGTTTTTTTTGTTTTTTGGTTTTTGGGGGTTTTTTGTCATTTCTGAGACAGTTCCCACCACTTCCTAGCAACAGATGCACACACCAGGTAAAGCCAGGCCCCAACAGCACGAGGTTCAGAACTCACGCAAAAGTGGTCCCTAAGGGCCACCATTTTAAAAATGAGTTGCATCAGGACCAGCAGATGGCGAAATGGTTACATCGCTGGGCTCCCATGTGGTCAACCATGGTTTGAGTGTCAGACCCAGTGGCTTAAAACTCACGCTGGAAGCATGTATGGTGCGTGCCCAAATTCAGAAAGGAGAATGGAAGAGGAGGGACTGCAGTGTGGCCATCACACAGGGGGTGGTCTCTCACTTTCTTTCTCTATGTCTCTCTGGCAAGCACACACACCCTATGGCAAAAATCTCTCTAAAAGAATTCATTGAAATAACTTTTTAAAAATAAAAATGAGTTACATCAATGTGACTATTGTGTCATGCAATTTAAAAATAGTAACTGGTGGGACCAGCAGTTAGCGTAATGGCTATGTCGCTGAACTCCCATGTAGCTGACCACGGTTTAAGTCCTGGACCCGGCGGCTTAAACTCACACCAGGCGCATGTGCATGTGTGCCCAAGATCCCGAGGGGCGAATGGGGGAGAAGGGATTGCAGCGTGGCCATCCTCCCTGGTCAGGTGATTTCTCGTTTTCTGTCTCTCTGTCTCTCTGGCATGTGCATGCACCCTGTAGCAAAAACCTCTCCAAAAAAAGAAAGAAAAAGAAAAGGAAGACTCTTACTTTGAAAATATAAAAAATGCCCAAGAGGGAAGAGGGAATCCAGACATCCACAGTCACGTTACCCTAAACATAACTGGGTAAGACCTGGTTTTCTCAGTGTCTTTTTTCTTTCTTTCTATGCATTCTTTTCTTCACACAGTTGTAATGAGAGTTTTGTTTGAAACTAATATATTGTTTTTTGCATTCACTCGTAATTCATAAGTTCATCTTCATACACATAGATACTCTTAAATATCATTTAAGATGGTCAAGATCCTGGGGCCAGGAACCAGCAGTTAGCATAATGGCTATGTCGCTGGACTCCCACGTAGTAGACCACGGTTCGAGTCCCAGACCCGGTGGCTTAAACTCACGCCAGGGGCATGCGCGTGCATGCCCAAGATCCCGAGAAGAGAATAGAGGAGAAGGGATTGCAGCATGGCCATCTCCCCTGGGGGGTGATTTCTCGCTTTCTGTCTCTCTGTCTCTGTCTGTCTGTCTGGCGAGCGCATGCGCCCTATAGAAAACCCACAAAAAAAAAAAAAAAAAAAAAAGATCCTGGGGCCAGTAGATGTCATAATGGTTACATCACTGGACTCCCACATGTCTGACAGAGGTTCAAGTCTTGGACCTGGAGGATTGAAAGTCACGCTGCATGCACATGTGTGCGTGCCCAAGAGGAGAATGGAGGAGAAGAGATTGCAGCATGGCCATCACCCTACGTAATGATTTCTCACTTTCTGTCTCATCCCCCTAAGTAACGATTTCTCACTTTCTATAGGGCACACACACCCCATAGCAAAAAAAAAAAAAAAAAAAAAAACCCCCAAAAAAAAAAAAAAAAAAAAAAAAACTCTCGAAAAAAAAAAAAAAAAAATAAAAAATGTCCAAGATCCTAACTGTAAGATGTTAGGTTTTAATTAAGTACTGTGTTGTCAACAGTCCCCGTGGCTGCACGTTTAGGGCCACTCCATGTTTTGCTTCTCTGAATAAGGACTTTGGTATGACCTTCTCCCAGAGTTGGTAGTTTGTCCTCAGGGCAGGTTCTCTGCAGGGAGATTGCTAAATCAAGTGTGAGAGACCTTTTTCAGGATCCTGACATTTATCAGACTGGTTGCCCAGGGGCTATCAACCGCTGTCTGAGGACAGCCCCTGTGCCACCCTGCCTCCCTGGCTCCACAGATACGAACTGATTGCCTACCGCACGCCTGGAGCTGAGGACCCGGTGAGAGGAAGCCCGGCCCCGTCCACCAGGGTGCTACGCCGGGCTTGCCTTTTATCCGCTCTCTGACGGGCCATATATGATAGCTTGTTCCACTTCTCTTTTTCTTCGTTGCTAGCAAGCAGCAGCCTTTTTTCCATAGGTTTGCGAGTCCTTCTGAACTGTTTCATTCCACTTCCCCACTAGTGTGACAGAGCACACGTAAAGCAACAGAATGACTCCTTTCTATAACGATGACATCCCTTCTGAAGAAGAAAAAAAACAAAACCAACCCTTGTTGATATTGAGGCAGGAGGGACAGGATTTTTCCTCGGACATAAAGAAGTGGTTTAGTCACCAGTGGCAGAGGAGTGAGCCCCACTCTGGGCCAGCAGAGTATCTAAAGTTAACACTGGACGTGGCCAGAGGCTCTCACGGTCCACTGTCAGCTTGACCTGGCCTGGCCGCATCCCCTGACCACTGTGCTCCAGCTCTGAGGCCTTTCCTGTCAATATTAGCTAAGAATCAAATCAAAGCATACTCAGTAGGCCACCTCAACGTTCCTCTGCTCCTTCCTCAAGTTGCTCTGCACGGTGTTCCCTCAAGATCCCCGCTTTAAGAGCAGGGAGAGGCTGTGCACAGCCTGCAGGGGGGCCCAGCCACTGTGAAGGTCACCCTGCGCTGTTCTGTGTTTCTACACATCACAATGCCACAGGCTACCTCCTCCAAGCTGGCCTCTCCCTCCGCTCCACTCAATGGCAGCAGCAGGGTGGGAGGAGGAAAGACTGAGGCCAGAGATCCCTTCCCCAGGAGTGGATCACCTCCAAGATGCCCTCACCTACAGAGCCATAGAATGCAAGTGGCATTTCCTAGAAGGTGCAGAGTAAGCCCTAAAGGCAGCCGTGGTAGTTAATTGTATGTGTCGACTTGGCTAGGCCATGGAATCCAGAAATTTGGCCAAACGTAATTCTAGATGTCTCTGTGAGGATGATTAGATGAAATTAACATTTTTTTTTAGAGGTTTTTCGCTATAGGGCGAGTGCGCTCACCAGACAGACAGAGAAAGACATAGAGACAGAAAGCGAGAAATCACCCCCCAGGGGGAATGGTCACGCCGCAATCCCTTCTCCTCCATTCTCCTCTCGGGATCTTGGGCACGCACGCACACGTGCCCGGCGTGAGTTTTAAGCCACCGGGTCCGGGACGCGAACAGCGGTCGACTACATGGGAGTCCAGCGACATAGCCATTACGTTAACTGCTGGTTCCCGGTGAAATTAACATTTACATCAACAGATTTTTTTCTTTTAAATGAGAGAGAGACAGAGAATGCACATGAGCAAGAGGGGAGAGAAGGAGAAAGGTATGTGTAAGGGTCTCACCACTGTGCTCCTCTGCCCAGCCTCCCGGTCAGCTGGGAGCACTGGTGTCGAGTGCGCTCACCAGACAGACAGAGAAAGACATAGAGACAGAAAGCGAGAAATCACCCCCCAGGGGGAATGGTCACGCCGCAATCCCTTCTCCTCCATTCTCCTCTCGGGATCTTGGGCACGCACGCACACGTGCCCGGCGTGAGTTTTAAGCCACCGGGTCCGGGACGCGAACAGCGGTCGACTACATGGGAGTCCAGCGACATAGCCATTACGTTAACTGCTGGTTCCCGGTGAAATTAACATTTACATCAACAGATTTTTTTCTTTTAAATGAGAGAGAGACAGAGAATGCACATGAGCAAGAGGGGAGAGAAGGAGAAAGGTATGTGTAAGGGTCTCACCACTGTGCTCCTCTGCCCAGCCTCCCGGTCAGCTGGGAGCACTGGTGTACACCATCACATCAGGCCTACTTAGGTGGTCCAGGACTCAAACCCCTGGTCCCAGGCTCAAACAGTTGGGCTCTCATGGCTGGACCAAAACTGGTAGACTCTGAATAAGGCAGACTACTCTGCATACTTGGGAGGGCCTCTTCCAACCAGTGGAAGATCTCCACAGGAAAAAGACTGACCTCCTGGAGAAAAGCGGTTCTGTCATCAGACACCTTTGCACTGACACTGCAACTCCTCCAGGGTCTCCAGCCCACCAGTCTGCCTGCAAATTTTGAACTTGCTAGCTTCTACAACGATGTGAGCCAATTCCCCAAAATAAATCAAGAGACGTAAATAGAGACAGAGCAGAGGTGGAGCAGAGGCAGAGATATAGATGGAAGCTGAGATGGAGAAAAAGAGATACAAAGAAAGCAAAAGAGAGAGAGAGGGGCGCACATGCCACGCACCACAGGTTCTGTTTGTACGGAGAGCCCTTACAAGTACAGAAGTCACACAGCTTGGGCCCCAAGTATGAAAACATTTACAGCCTTTGAGCATGAACAATGCTGCTGAAGAGCTACCCTAGCAAATAATTCAGGGCCAGAAAAAGTTCTGTGCATAAACATGTTCAGTTTGGAATGGCTGATAACAAAAAGCAAATACAAAAAAGCCAATAACTTAAATACTCAGCAATGGGGAAACCTTTAGCAAATCGTAACATATTGATCTGAATAACAACCATATTAGGACAAATCAGAGAAACAGAACCACTGCGTGGTGGGGAGGGGCGGTGTACAGATAATGATTTATTTGGTTCAGGCAATTATGGAGGCTAACAAGTTCTACAGTCTTGAGTTTGCAAATGAGAGATCAGGAAAGCTGGTGGTGCAGGTCTAGTCTGAGTCCAAGCGCCTGAGGACCCACGTGAGCCAGCACTGCAAACCGCAGCCTGAAGGCAGGAGCGCAGCCCATGCCCAGCTCAGGCAGGCAGGAGGCGAAGGAAGCCTCCCCTCCTAGACTGTTTGTTCTACACAGGCCCTCAACAGACTGGGTGATGCCCATCCACACCGAGAATGCAGTCTTCCTCACTGAGGCCACCAAGCCAAACGTTAACCTCATCAGGAAACATCCTCACGTACACACAAAGTTTAATCTGGGCACCTCCATGGTCCAGTCAACTTGGCACACAAAATTAACCACCAATATGTACAATTATGCAAAAACATGAAGAAAAGTTTGACAGTACCAGTTCTAGAGAACAGCATATCTGAACCTAAATCCAAGCTTTGCACATTACTTTGACAAATCTCAATTCTCTGTGGAATCCTGTTCTTTCATCTGAAAATGGAGGCAATACCTGCTAACCTCACAAGGTTACAACATCTGACATATCACAGATGATCAATAAGGTAACATTACTAACACCAGTGTCCTTGTAAATAAGGACTCCAGTGAAACAAAAATAAGCAGAGTCTCATGAAAAGAAAAAAAGGATAAAAAGGATAAAACAACATGCAAATTAAAAGCTAAGGCCAGCCAATGGCACAGTGGTTATAGCTGGCTGGATCTACATAGCCAACTCCTTGAAAAATACATTAGATATACGTGCATGCGTGCCCAAAAGGAGAAATGAAAGAGAAGGGATTGCAGCGTGGCCATCCCCCATGGGGTCTGCGTTTTCACTTTCTCTCCCTCTCTCTCTCCAGTGAGCATATATACCCTCTAACAAATTAAAGGAAAGGAAAAAAAAGATAGAGAAAGAAAAGTTGAAGGCTAGGGCCAGCTGGTGGCAGAGCAGTTAAGGCAGCAAGACCCCACATGACTGGCTGCATGGTTTGAGTCCCAGCCAAGCTGGACAGGTGTGCATGTGTGTCCAAAATCCTGAAAGGAAAAATGAAGAAGGGATTGTGACATGGCTGTCCTCCCTGGAGGATACTTTCTCACGTTCCCTCTCTGTCTCTGTCTGTCTCTGGTGAGCGCACATGCCCTATAGCAAATTAAAAGAAAACAACAACAACAACAAAAACTGAGGATAGAGGCATGCTGTGTGCTTTAATACAGGAGATTCAGTCATACAGAAGTACATTTCTTTTTAAAAAAAAATTATTTCAGGACCAGCAGTTGGCATAATGGCTATGTCGCTGGACTCCCACGTAGTCGACCGTGGATCGAGTCCCGGACCCAGTGGCTTAAACTCACGCCGGGCACATGTGCATGTGTGCCCCAGATCCCAAGAGAAGAATGGAGGAGAAGGGACTGTGGCATAGCCATCCCCCCTGGGGGGTGATTTCTTGCTTTCTGTCTCTCTGTCTCTCTCTGCCTGGCGAGTGCATGCGCCCTATAGCAAAAACCTCTAAAAAAAATAAAATAAAAAATTATTTCATTTTATTTACTCATTCATTTCTTTTAATTTGACCAGAGAGAGAAAGTGGGAAAGCAAGCCACCAGGTCCAGAACTCGAACCATGGTCAGTTATATAGGAGTGTCCAGCACCTTAACCACCACGCCGCCTGTTGGTCCCCAGAAAGGTACATTTCTATGTATTCCTTTCACACATTTTTCTTTTAAATTTTTTACTTGAGGGCACATACACTCACCAGAGAGGGACAAGAGAGACAGAGAGGGAAAGTGAGGAAACATCCCCTAGGGAAGATGGCTGTGTTACAACCCTTCTCCTCCATTTCTATTTTTGGGATTTTGAGGTACACATACACGCAATGCCAGGCATGTTTCCAAGACACTGGGTCTGGGACTTGAACTGTGCAGTTAGCCCTGTGGGATCCTGCCACCTTAACCATCACATCATCACCTGGCCCCACTGCACACTTTGATAAGCTAGATTTTGAAGTCCCTGATCAGGGTGGTGCTATGTACTATAAAGACCAAGTTAAGAGGTAACTAGCTTGCCTGGCAGTAAACTAAGCACAGAATTATTATAAAAGGGGACCGTCACATGGCAGCAGCTGACCTGTGTGATCTGACATGATGTGCCACCCCATGACAAAGCTCCATGGAAAATCATTTCATGCATTCAACCGAAATCCTACAAGGTGCTGCTATTCTTCCAGGTCTCAGACGAGGCCGGAGGCTCTGGGTGGCAGCTCATGCGACCTAAGCCATGTAGTTAGTAAATGAGAACTTAGGCTATCTTGATTCTGAGACCCAGGTTTGTCATTAGCTGTGCCTTCCTGCTGCATGCCCTCACCTGCCCAAGCCCCTTCCATAGGTACAAATCGACAGGAGCTGCAGTGTTACGACGGAAAGTGCAGCGAGTTACTATGTATGCCTCCGCCTCCACAGATAAACTCAGATCTACCACCAGCAACTCTCCTCTGACCTAATCCTCCCTTTCTCTGGAGCTTCCCATGCTAGTGCCAAGTTATGGATGCAAGGAAAATCCAGTCAACAAACATGAAAGGTGAGAGTTGAAAGCAAGAATATCAAAGCAAGCAGACAGACACTTGATACTCACTTCGTAATAAGTACCTGCAAACATTGTCCCACATCCCCTCTTAGTTGTCGGGAGAACAGCAAGCTAAGACTCTTTCCTTCTAAGTTGAAAGCCTAAAACATGAATAATGCCCTAGATACATTTAAAACCCGCACTCTTATTTCCCCAATACTGTAGAAAAAGAAAGCAGTGACACAACTCCCTTTAACAGCACAAGTGAAACTTACTTCTCAGGCGACTCCGAGGGGCCCACGCGCTTTCTTCCCGATGAACTCCCATACATGTCATCCTCGTTTTCATCCACATCTTCATCATCAATGCTTTTGACGTCAAGTTTCTGGTACCCAAACTCCCCATTCAGAGATAGAGAATCGATCTTCCATGAGTTGCTGCTCTGACTCCCATTGGAATTTGGTCCGAAGGGGCTTTCAAAGGCCGACATGATATTGACAGACGAGCGGTCAGAGTTCTCCTCTGAGCTCTCCCCCGTCCCAGGCAGCTTTTTAAAAGCATCCCCAGAGTTCTGCTCATCTTCCTCATCATCGAATGAGATAATGTATGTCACTTTCTTCTTC